TTAAATTAACACAAAAATTTGAATGGACCGGTTGGGACATGTAAGATGTGTTAATTTAACACAAATTTGTTAACTGTGAATAATTATTTTTAAAGCATTGTTTACTCAGTATCACGAAGTCCCATTACACGTTGGCCGTTGGCATCAAATCCCACGTATTTCATTCCAAATGGTATATATTCAAACAACCGTCCATACGAAAGTGCTCGATTTAATGTAAATCTGCCAGTCATAAGCATTACATCTTTGAAATTGAGTGTTGAGTAAACCACATGTACCAAATCTTCACGGCAAGACTCGGCAGACAGATTGTTTTCTGTCCAACAGAATGAGATGGTCGTTTCTTGGAGCTCGGTAAATTTGATTTTGTTTCAAACAATCCCGTAAATATGTCTGCGTTTCAAAAGAGTATTTCTTTTATGGAGTTCTACTCGATAATATGTGCATTAGGGATCACAAATATAATTAGATCACCACGAACCTACAGGAAAATTAGAACTTTATATGATGACATAAAGTATGTAAAACCAAATTTTTAATGGAAACATCATCGCAAAATTTAAAATATAAAATATATAAATATTAATTAATATCGATTATAGAATGTTCAAATTAATAATTAGATGGGAAAATACCAACAAAACGACCAAAGCGAATCTCGGAGTTTTAATAATGTTTTAATAATATTTATATGTATATCTTAAAATTTCCAGCTGGAACAAACTGTGCTTCAAATTTTTGTTGGTTTCAAAACACAGTTCTAAACTGAATCTAAAGTCATATCACAATGAAGTGGACCAAGTAATTTAATAATTTGGCACTAATGAACATCTTTTAAAACTTGTAATTTAATATGTTGCTAAAAATATTAAATTATCCTGGCTGAGGTTTTATTTTTCGTAATAAATTATTTTACAGAATTTGAAACATGGCTTATTAGTCTTATTAGCACCAAATTATTATATTACTTTGTAAAATGTGACACTCTGGATTCGTACTCTGGATTCAGTTTAGAGCCGCATTGTAAAACCGACACAAATATTTGGCGCGTAATTGCATGGTTGAACTAAAAATTACAAGACTCACAGTCATATAAATATTATAAGAACATTAAGATCTCTGCTTTGACCGTGTTGGCGTTTTCTCATTTTAATTGTTACAAAATACACAATATTATATATCACATATAAATAGATTATTTATGTGATTTAAGAAGATTTGTATATACCATTTGGCACACATGGGTGGTAGGTACAAGTTTCGCTTCCGCTTGTGGTAATCTTAAATGTCTATATGATCCCCAAGTCTTATTAGGTCGCAATACGTTAATGGCCATATCTTTTTGCAGCTGCTCTAAATAGAAGGAATCTTGTAGAAAAAATTTAGGAGCCTCCTTATCTTGAATAAACATACACCTAACAAATTCTCCGCCCGGTTCTTTTCTCAAGCAATTCACAAAACCCAACAAACTGCACTCAAAATCTCTCTCAGCAACAATTATAATTCTACTATTCTTCTCGAATTTGTTCTCGTCGCTCACAAGAGACTTTAGATCCTCCAACCAATTAAAGTTATCATTATTTATATATACAACAGTTCTGTTTTCTATCAAAACTTTCTTTTTCAGAAGCACAATCGTTTCTTTATCAGTGCACTTTTCCAGAATAACATTTAATTTGTACTGCTGCAAGTATTGCTTATAGTCAGTTACGTCGCGATTCTCGCGCGTCAACAGATAACCATCTTTTCTCAAAAATGGCAGCAGTCGCTCTAATGAGGTTTGTCGTTTGGTCAGAAGATTGAATCCGGCAACTATTAAAGCTTTGTCATCTATGGGTGCTTTGTTTAAATCTGCGATTGAAATGTTTTTTGATAAATTTGATGGATTGAAACGATTCGGCGATGTTAATAAAGTAATATTCGTTTGTATCAATGGCATATCATTAAATGCCTCATTGAGAAATGAAGATGAGAGATATTCTAATGGAATACTATCGTCATCTTCCACTAACTCGATAATTTTCACTTTAATAATTTGATGATTTTCCAGCGCAAGCTGCGCTGATATTCGAATCGCTTCATTTAAAGAAATCTTGGCGCGATCACAATGAGCTACAAATATATGTTTCTCGATAACTGCATCTTGAGCTAATTTCCGGCGAGAGATCTGTGAGGCGGTAAGACCTCGAATTTCTATTCCACCAGCTACAATCGTGTCTAGTTCTCTGTTTACGCGTATTGGTAATTCTGTAATAAGACAATTCAAATAATATACGCACACGGAAAGAATAATTTTGCTGGAAGATAAAAAAAATCTAAAAATAATTTTTGTTAGAACACCATCAAAATATTTTAAGTTGAAAACTCAAAAATTGTTGGAATAATAATTTTGAAAGTCGCACTAATACACTAATAAACAGCGACAAGCGCTACGGTCGGAGTAAGACAGGTGGTTCCGACACGGTGGCGAATCGCGAGCAATCAGCAAGAGTATAGATTTCCGGCTGCTCTAGAGTTCAGTAATACATGGCATAGCTCTACAACGTGAATCTATTAGTTTAAATATATGTAAGTTTCTTTGTTCCGCGATCTCAGCAGATAATCGAGCGCGGATTTTGCGAACTAAAACGTTTTTTTTTATTTCTCCGTTTAATTCATGCCTACTTCTGTTAGTATTACTTTCTGTTGCGTACTGAAGGACTTATAATAAAATTGATAGAAATATAAAGAAACACGTGTTTGGCCTAATTTACCTCTGCTAACAAAAATAATAAGCATTGCTGTAAAAAATTTTTAATAAAAACACGGAAAAATTTTGCTGAATACAGATCTGAAAATAATTTTTGATTGAACCGTCAAAATAATTTGTTGGAATGTTAAAACTGATAAGCATTGCTATATATAACGTTTTGATATTACGAGCAATCATTTTGACTTTCAAACAAAATTATTTTGATAGTACTCTAACAAAAATTATTTTCAGATTTTTTTTTTATCTTTCAGTAAAATCATTCTTTCCGTGCATTAGACCAAAGAAACAAATTTTATGATATTCATGAATTAAAATAAGACAATTCTTAGCATTAAAGAATAAAATAAAAATAATCTAGCAATTAGAGAATATATACATATATATATTTACGTTTGGCTTTGTCTGTCGTAGCCTCTTGAACGTCAGCGTCGTTTCGTAGCATCGTTACGTGAAACGTGGGATTAATTACCAATTTTTTAATATTCGTGGGAACATACAAATCCCTAGTATCGCAACCGAGGATGTACATCTGTAACATGTTATCCATAAATGTTATCCAATTGTTTCTCCAAATGATATGCCCTCTTTTGCCTGAAACAGATGCACTCTTTAATCCACGAAACAAACCGGTATACTGATAACCGCGCAGTTTTAACTCCTTATAGATATCTCGTGCGGTCATATGTTCTTCTTCGTTGTTCTCCGGCAATAGATCCGTTGAAGTCATTTTCTGTTCTGAATTTGGTGTCTCGTGCACTATACCTGTCACAACAACGCTTTCGCCCTCAGTTATTTCAAACTTTCCGTCTGTAATATTTTAATATAACATTTTAATAATTAATTATGATTATAGGCTCGTATTTGTAATAACAAATTTATAATTATTATATGAATGTATAATAGACCTGAGCATAAGTGACGTGCTCAATCGCAACGTGGTCAATCGTGACGTGGGCAACCGCGATGGGGGCAATTGCAACGTGGACAATTGCAATACATGGTCAATCGCGACGTGGTCAATCGCAACGTGGCCAATTACAACGCGTGGACAACCGCGCAAAAGGATCGTCAGTTTAAATAAATTTAATCATGTGATTGTCATGTTAAATGCACGTATTTATTAAAATATTCGGACAAATTTCGACTTTATACTTATTGTTAGTCTTCCTCAGCAACGTTAACAATATAATTAATTAATATAACCAGATAAATTAAACTAAGATACGCACATGATTAAAAGATTCTCAACGATCACGAATTCTGCAGAAGTCATGCAGCGCAACTAGGTTGTTCTTACATCTATACGCTTAATAATATTTTAATATATTTGATCATAAACAATCTTATGATTAGACAAACTTAAAACTATTCATTCCATAAATACCTTTTTGAATCGCAATCGTTAATATAACAGCATTATTTCTTGATAAATGAGTAGCACGAATAAATTTTACATCTTGGAATGTTATCGGTATTGTTGTGTATATTCTCTCCGTCATCATGCCCATAGTTTGCCAAATCAGAGCAAGATAACCCGTCGCGGGTAACAAAATTCTTCCATCAACTACGTGGCCGCTCATATACTCATAGTCTTCATCATCGAGTATGATTTCAACATACCTTTCTCTTGATTTCATGATTTTGTGTTCTTCATCAGACAATGTAAACCAATCTTTGGAATGATGCCATCTAATGGAAATCAAAAGTATGGTGAGTTAACACATTACATTATTTTATATACAGGGTGTAATATTTTAAAAATTTGAAGAACTTATAAGGCTTGTAAGAATAAATCAATTATATATATTGAAGTAATGCCTATCGAGCCGACACAGATGTTGGTGTGTATTAATTTTTTACAATATCCAACCACACGCAAACTGCGTGCCGCATGTTTGTCCGTCTTGGAAACATAGTTCATTACATGAAGCCAAAATCCACTTGTAACAATTAAATTGACTGGTAATTTAATCTCTTTGATGCTAACATGCATCTATAGTAATCTATAAAATCCCCTCTCCCCCCCCCCCAAATCTGTAAAAAATTTATTGCGAAAAATATCACCTCAACTCTCAGCCAGAAATCGAACCCTGATCTCTCAGTTTACCGGACGGTCGTCCTACCATTCGCAATTTGCGTGTGGCTGGATATTGTAAAAATTAATGCACACCAACATTCGTGTCTATAATATATAATTGATGTACAATTTTCATTTCACCAGGCAAATATTTCGAAAAATACTCAAGATACGAAGAAATACTTCATACAAAAATTGTAGAATAAAAAGAGGTACTAATAATTATAAAATCAATTTCACATAAAAGTCGATTTTTCAAGATCCCATGGATGTCATTCAACTTTCTTAAAGGGAATGATATGATCTTATTAAATAATATGATTCCTCTGATTCTGCACATAAAAATATTAAAGTAAAGTTATCAAAAAATCAGTACTTTATAAAATATTTTAATACTTTATCATGCTATATTGCAATATAAAATATAAATTATCTTGTAAATGTAAATAATATGTGTTAATTTATCTTTATCGAGATTGGCTACAATGCAGTATGTTTGCTTACTACAATTTACATTTCGCTACAAAGAAACTATATTAGTATACAGAATTGTTCCTGGCATAAAAATGTAGACAAAAATTCTTTCTGTCATATTAGTATAATTTAATCATAATAAACAATTCTGTTTATAAAGTTGAATCCCTAAATTGTGAAAACTGTGCAAACAAGCCCCAACCTCCCTTAGGGTTTTAAAAAATTAGTGGCAATGCAAATGTGATCTTGAATAGTCGTTAAGATCATACAAAAATCGGAAAATTTTAAATTTTCAAATGGAAATCTCCATTTTTTATTCCAGAATCTATATTATGTTTACGGTAATATGTATCTTGTACCTGATCGATGGGGAGATCATAGGAGTCCCTCGGCTAACTGGCAATGTTACTGGCGGATATAAATTGGCAACTTGCGGTTGTAAACCACAGTTGTAAAGCCTCCCAATTCCTTTAAAAATTATATTATTGTATTGTTCAGTGCGTCGAGTCAATAAAATGTTTGTAATTTCTGGATGTAAGGATTTTTCCAAAACTTGTTGCAGAACGTTGTCTGGTGTGATTTGGACGGTCACAGCGTCAGGTGGAATTAAATATTTTGCTTGTTCAAAGAGAACAGTATTTAGTATACTACGTGTATGATAGTCCGCTGATGACAATTTTGATGCTGAAGTGTGCCATTCGGCACGAGGTATGGAAGTGCTTATCCACTTCGGACTTCGTTTTCTCGGACATGGTATTATTTTGTTCAAATTGGACAAAAGCTGAGATTCCACGAGCGTGAGGTAGGAACTGTGATATGGCACGTTACAGTGCAGCTCTTTCACATAAATATTATTAACCTGATAATTTAAAAATATAATATTAACACATGTTATAAGTGTGAAAAATTATGGCTTGAATTTAAAGATTCGACATTTTTTTAAATTAATAGGCAAAGTTTTCCATTCACTTATAAAAATACGCAAGAGCTATTCAATTCTGTACAAACCTCTAATTTTTTCATAAATTCGCGCATTGATTTTTCGGGACCACTAACAATGCTACTGTTCTCGCTATTGCGGCATACTATTTTAATATCCGCTGGACACATATTTATAAGGCACTTATAATCAAAATTGACAATTGCCATAGAGCTACGAATTAATTTCGTTTCGGCACATGTCAAACCAATAAAATATGCTGATAAAATAGTTTGTTCAACTGTGAGACATTCATCCGCGTACGCGCAACCCAGTTCACCAGCAGAATGACTAATCATGTAATCCGGAGTAATTTTTAAAGATGTTAGGAGATCTACTAAACCAATCTACAAATATATACCAACAATTTAACAGCTAGACATAACATTTTAAGAATTGAAATACAAATAAAATAATAAAATGTAATTTAAACTTTTAAACAATAAACCTAATAAGTTTTTTTATAAAACAATAACAAATAATTAAACAATATTAACGAAATACACAAATGAATAATAGGCTAGAACCGAGTAAAAGGATGATGAATTAAAATAAAATTAAATCATGCGATAGTCATGTTAAAACTGTTAAAAGCATGTATTTATTAATATTTGGACAAGTTTCGACTTTATACTTAGTCTTCCTCAGCTACGTTAAATAATAATTTATAAAATAAAAATTATATAAATGTGTAGTAAATGATAAATTACAATAACGCATTTTAAGGCCAACGTGAATAATAATTAATTATGATAATAGGCTCGTATACATTTATATAATTTTTATTTTATAAATTATTATTTAACGTCGCTGAATAATAATTAATTATGATAATAGGCTCGTATACATTTATATAATTTTTATTTTATAAATTATTATTTAACGTCGCTGAGGAAGACTAAGTATAAAGTCGAAACTTTTTCAAATATTAATGAATACATGCTTTTAACATGACTATCGCATGATTTAATTTTATTTTAATTAACTATCCTTTTATGCTCGGCTCTGGCCTATTATTCATTTGTGTATTTTGTTACAAATACAAGCCTATAATCATAATTAATTAATATTAACGAACTCTTGAAATTGTCAATTAAATAGGAACAAAAGGGTAATGAGAGTTTTTCGCGCGGTAATTAAAGCGCATGACATGTAGTCTTGAATTAATGATCTTTATTTTACACTTGTCTATTCCATGGACGTTTCGATTCTTTTTGAATCATTTTCAGCAATGTTAAATCTCGACGTTTCCGGTGTGACGGGAGCAAGAGTAAATTCTATATGAATCTCCCAGAAATCCGTTGCCTGGTTGGTAATGCCAGTAACGAATGTGTAATTGTAATATCATATGAAAGTAAATTACAGACATCGGCTCCCATCACACCGGAAACGTCAAGATTTAACATTGCTGAAGATGATTCAAAGAGAATCGAAACGTCCATAAAGTAGAGATATAAGTATAAAATAAAAATCATTAATACAAGATTTCAGGACTACATGCCATGAGCCTTAATTACCTCGCAAAAAACTTATTATAGCCTTTTGTTCCTTATATTTAATTCCTTTAATTTAAAAAAAATTGTATTTACCATCTATGTTTTACTAATCTATGTACAAATACAAATAGGTACTTATAGATAATAAATTAATAGTAATGTATAGCTTTGATATATAATATATACTTTACCTGAATAGCGACAATACCAACAAATGCAAATAATGCGTTTTCGCACACTTTTTTTTCTGTATTTGTCAAAATGTCTGTGACATTTATACCATAAGGTTTTAAAATAGTGTCACACATTCTTATCGTATTTGCGAAAACTTTAAATTTTAATAAATTTTGACCTGATTTTAATTAAAAAATGATATTAGTTTAGTTATTATACAGTTACTATTTTAAATTAGATACGATATTAAATATTACCCATTCCTGGCCATTGTGACCCTAAGGCTGAAAATATAAAGCAAACAGGTCTTTTTATATTTTTACAATTTTGAATTTCTTTTATTGATTCTTGTTGTAAAGTATTCAATATTATATATCCTCTCCATGGATGACCTTCTATATTGTCTGAATGAACGTCGTGTAGTAAACGGATGTATTCTACATCTATCTGATGATTAGCAATCTACAATGATACATTTTTTTAAATAAAAAATACGATGTAATATATGTTTCTAATTGTCCAAAATAATCTTAAATGCAAGTTTTAAAATATATACTAACGTCATTTAAAAACAATTTCACTGATTCTTTCGTGCGTCCAGATAATATTACAAGTCTTGGCAAATCATCATTTGGCGTGCTATTATTAACTTTCCGTTTCGGATTCCATTTTAATAGCATATGAGCGTTAGCCCCCCCAAATCCAAAAGAACTAATACCTATGTAACCATTTTTAAGTGGGAATGGTTCCTCGACGACACGAACAGTTCCGTTTATCAAAGCCTCTATATCATCCCTTGGCGATGTATAATTGATATTTGGTGGAACAAAACCGGTTTCAAATGCTATTATTACCTTAAAAAATCAATAATAATTTTAATTATAATAACACCTGTGAAAAAAATCTCCGGATTCAATGTTATATAACTCTTTGATTTATCATAAAATATTATAAAAAGGATCGATGTCAAGCCAATCATATTTATTATTATTGAAATAGAAATATATTTTATTAGATGGAAATTTTTATAAATCTAAAATGAAATAATGGAGAGGACGATAATACAGGTATACAGGCGTCGAATTTTATGGAAACCATGTTATAGGATATATAAGCAAATAAAGGTTTATTTCTAAATATAAGAAATTGCAAACCTTAAGCATTATAGAAACAAATATACTTTTGTATCAAGACAATAAATCAGTCTTATTTAATTCAAGGACAGAAGAAGAATGAGAATAATTAATCTAATAATTAAATATTTTATTTTATTCTTATAATATATAGGATTGCAATAAATATGTATTTTCTATCTTGATATCAGAATATGTTTTCTTAATGTAAGAAATCATTTCTGGAAGGAATTTGCTATATACTGATTATAGTATATTGATTAGGGCTGTTACTTTTCACCTACTTCGAATATTCAAAGCTTCGAAGTTAACTTCGACCTTCCGAAATTTAAGGTACTTTCGAAGCTTCGAAGCTTCGAAGTTTCAAAAAATACATTCGTGCAAATGATAAATTTATCTAGAAAATTTACAAATATTTTTAATAATTGAATTAATATGTATATATATATACTATACATATATACTGGGTCTCGTATTCAATGGTACAGCGCTTGTGGGGAGGTAGTGTGAACCAAACTGAACAAAAAAGTCCTCTACCATTTTGCAATTTTCGCAATAGTTACCGAGATACTAATCATTTAAAAAAAATTTACGCAAAGTATATATAAGTGTATTGTACATTAGGTACATTTTATCTAAACCAAAAATATTATTTTAACAAATAAAACTTGTCCAAAAACAAATATGAGATCATACAAATTGCCAAATATTTGATTGGACATAGAGACAAAAATATTTTATTCCAAACTACAAAAATATTTTTTAATAAATCGTTTAAATTATTCAAAATTATATGCAGAGATCGGAAGAGC